CAATTCAACATGCTGGTCATCACCTTTAAAGCTACTTCTTTATTATAGCAATAGCACTTACAATCATGTACCACCCCAAAGTGTTTTATAGCCCTCTTGGTTTACAGCAGCGGTTCTCAACCTATGGGTCGCGACCCCATTTGGGGTCGATCGACCATTTCACGGGGGTCGCCAAGCAAGGCTGTCCGCCATTTTTTTCCCCTTTTCCGGCTGGTGCCTTACCTCCCTTGAGCTGGGCCAGCTGGTGGTCGGCCTGCTCCGTCTCTGCTGCTTGCCAGCTACGCCTCGGCCGGCGCAGGGGGTGGAACCACGCATGCGCGGTGCTCCCGAGCAGGAAAAGTCCTCAACTTACGACCGGTTGGGTAGTCCTCGACTTACAACCGGTTTAGTCCTCGACCTACGACCGGTTTAGTCCTCGGCTTACGACCGGTTGGGGGTCACGGCATTAAAAAGGTTGAGAACCACTGGTTTACAGAGTCACCATATTGTTCCCAACAATCTGGGTTCTCATTTTACTGAACTCAGAAGGATGGAAGGCTGAGTCAACCTTGAACCCCTTCAGGATTGAATTCCAGGCTACAGGCAGAGTCAGCTGGCAATACTGCCTTCTAACCACTGAAACACCAGGGCACCTGTCATTATTGCCCCACCTTTATTATTTTTGTATCTATCTGTTCTACCAGGTCAGATAGGGTGGGCACGCTCCTAGCCCCTTTTTTTAAATATTGCCATTGAAAAGGTGCTGGGAAGTGAGCCTTTTCCGTTGCAGACCCTGCCCTATGTTTGGTTGTTTTGATTTATGGACCAAAGGAAAACAACCTGATAATTTCATTGTAGTTCCATCTGCAGCACTTGCCACAGTGGAACAAATTAATGACATCTTGAATACTCAATTTGTGGACAGAATTCCACATAAAAATTGTCAATTAACACTTTTGATTTTTCCTACTAGTAAATTACCTACAGGAGTATTATCTGTGATAAAAGTACAAAAAATATATTGCATTGAATGACTTTATTTACCCCACCCCCCATCCCAAAATGTTTTATTTTTTATCCAGGTGGTTGCTGAAATAATAACCTTAGGACGCACACGAGCTTGCCATCAAAATGGAACTGATTTAATTAATATTGTTTTTTCTATTCCAAAATCTGATTTTCAATTTTATTTTCAGGATAACTTATCTCTTCAGTATATAGGTTGTATTTCATATCATCTGCCTAAAGATCCTTGACTTGCTTTTTTAATGATTTTTTCTTTCCTGTCCGCCCACTGATTTCTCCTTTTCCCTTGCCACAAGCTCCTACTGTCTTTTCCAATGGAGGGAGAACGAGAGGAGCAATTGCTTACAAGGATCCTCATGATGTTACCTAAAAAGTGTCCTACACTGCAATACAGTCCTCACCACAATGCTCAGAATTAGCTGCTGCTATCTTGGCTTTTCACACCTTTTCTCAACAGTCTTTTAACTTACTCTCTGACTTT